GCGTAAAGTATATCAATTTGAGCTGTTTTGTCAGCTAATAGACCTATTTTAGCTGTTCTGTATTAAATTGCATTGAAATAAAATTTCGATTTAGACAATATAATTTAAGTAGGTTTTAAAACCTATGTCAAGAGCACGCAGCTTTGGATCTGCTAGAACTCACTTCTAAATCTGTAACTATTTAGAATAATTTATTATTATATTTAATAGCATACATATAATAGGTTCTGTTATAATAAAAATTAGAAATAAAATTTCAATTTCGTAACGATCTTTATATTAGTTATTAATAAGAGGGACCCAAAATGAAGTGTATAAAACTTGGACACATCAACGCTAGATCGTTGCCTAAACATGAAGAACTAATTTCAGATATTATACGCGACAACAATTTCGATATTTTCTGTATTTCCGAAACATATTTAAACAAAACCATTAAATCTGAAGACCTCCTAAATATAAAAAAGAAATTGAAAGGGTATGAAATTCACAGATCAGATCGCGATGGTTCAAAAAGACGATCAGGTGGGGTAGCAATCATAGTGAAAAAGGTTATACAACATGAGGTGATAGCAACCCGTAGTGACGAATTCTCTGAGCAATTATGGTTGAAAATTTGGAACGATGAAGATAATTCGTTTATAATAATTGGGGTCGCTTATCGTACGCCAAGGCACAATACCAATGATGAGGTTCAATCATTTTTAAAATCCATTAATACAATTCTAGTAATAAACAAGTTAAAATATGCAAAGATATTGCTTACGGGTGATATAAATATCGATTATAGTATAAATAGAAATGAAACGAGATTCAAAATGTTAGATAGTTTACTCTCGTCAGAGCCATATAAAATGAAACAAATAATTAATGAATCGACAAAAAACGATTCGAAAAATGGGAAAAGGGGGAATAATGCTATAATTGATCATATACATGTGAATTTTCCAACAGAACCACCTCGAGTTTTAGACGCAAAAGATGTTGCAGATCATAAACTGCTCTCCGTCGAATTTGCTTGGCCAAAATAAAATTATTTAATAAAGTTTTATTTTTGATTTTACTGAATATTTTTCCGCAGTTGAAACATTTCAATAAAATCAAAAATAGAAGAAATATTTCATACTCCTAGGGTTCTGTAACATCGACTTATTTTTTGTGTCTAAAAATGATTTTTACGTCAGATATCTCTTGGTATAATATCTGAAATTAGTTCTTCATGTTTAGGCAACGATGTAGCGTTGATGTGTGTCCAAGTTTTATACACTTCATTTTGGGTCCCTCTTATTAATATCTATAAAGATCGTTCCGAATTTGAAATTTTATTTCTAATTTTTGTTATAACAGAACCTACTATATGTATGATACTAAATATAAAAATAAATTATTCTAAATAGTTACAGATTTAGAAGTGAGTTGCTATACGTATGATCTAGAAGGTCTGATTTAGAAGTGAGTTGATCTACTATATGTATGACACTAAATATAAAAATAAATTATTCTAAATAGTTACAGATTTAGAAGTGAGTTCTAACCGGTCCAAAGCTGCGTTCTCTTCAAGTACTATACAAAAATACGATTTTTGCACCTCCAGAAGGAAAAGTAAAGGATTTTGCTTCAGAGCTCTTTTTGCATATCTTCTAGTCAAAGTAAGTTTCAAAGGCACGTGCCCTTGAGATGTACAAAAATACCGTTTTTGGGCCTCCATAACAGAAAGCAAGCGATTTTGCGGCAGAACTCTCTTTGCTTATCTACTTGTAAAAGCTCCAAACGACCTTGAAGTGTAGAAAAATGCGGTTCTTGGACCTTCATAAGAAAAAGCATGACATTTTGCGGAAAAACTCTCTTTGCAATCTACTAGTAAAAGTTAACATGTACAGGGTGTCACATTTTTATCGGTTAGCTGATAATAAACTGCTCTCCGTCGAAGTTGCTTGGCCAAAATAAAATTATTTAATAAAGTTTTATTTTTGATTTTACTGAATATTTTTCCGCAGATGAAACGTTTCAATAAAATCAAAAATAGAAAAAAATATTTCATACTCCTAGGGTTCTGTAACATCGACTTATTTTTCTGTGTCTAAAAATGATTTTATGTCAGAATCTCTTGGTTCTTCGAAATAGATGTACATGAAACGCCAATTATTATAAACGGACTATTACTGTCTTCTCCATTCTAAATTTACAACGAACGTACTATATGTATGATACTAAATATAAAAATAAATTATTCTAATTAGTTACAGATTTAGAAGTGAGTTGCTATACGTATGATCTAGAAGGTCTGATTTAGAAGTGAGTTGATCTACTATATGTATGACACTAAATATAAAAATAAATTATTCTAAATAGTTACAGATTTAGAAGTGAGTTCTAACCGGTCCAAAGCTGCGTTCTCTTTCAAAGTACTATACAAAAATACGATTTTTGCACCTCCAGAAGGAAAAGTAAAGGATTTTGCTTCAGAGCTCTTTTGCATATCTTCTAGTCAAAGTAAGTTTCAAAGGCACGTGCCCTTGAGATGTACAAAAATACCGTTTTTGGGCCTCCATAACAGAAAGCAAGCGATTTTTGCGGCAGAACTCTCTTTGCTTATCTACTTGTAAAAGCTCAAACGACCTTGAAGTGTAGAAAAATGCGGTTCTTGGACCTTCATAAGAAAAAGCATGACATTTTGCGGAAAAACTCTCTTTGCAATCTACTAGTAAAAGTTAACATGTACAGGGTGTCACATTTTTATCGGTTAGCTGATAATAAACTGCTCTCCGTCGAAGTTGCTTGGCCAAAATAAAATTATTTAATAAAGTTTTATTTTTGATTTTACTGAATATTTTCCCGCAGATGAAACGTTTCAATAAAATCAAAAATAGAAAAAAATATTTCATACTCCTAGGGTTCTGTAACATCGACTTATTTTTCTGTGTCTAAAAATGATTTTATGTCAGAATCTCTTGGTTCTTCGAAATAGATGTACATGAAACGCCAATTATTATAAACGGACTATTACTGTCTTTCTCCATTCTAAATTTACAACAGACGTAATTATATGTATGATACTAAATATAAAAATAAATTATTCTAAATAGTTACAGATTTAGAAGTGAGTTGCTATACGTATGATCTAGAAGGTCTGATTTAGAAGTGAGTTGATCTACTATATGTATGACACTAAATATAAAAATAAATTATTCTAAATAGTTACAGATTTAGAAGTGAGTTCTAACCGGTCCAAAGCTGCGTTCTCTTCAAGTACTATACAAAAATACGATTTTTGCACCTCCAGAAGGAAAAGTAAAGGATTTTGCTTCAGAGCTCTTTTTGCATATCTTCTAGTCAAAGTAAGTTTCAAAGGCACGTGCCCTTGAGATGTACAAAAATACCGTTTTTGGGCCTCCATAACAGAAAGCAAGCGATTTTGCGGCAGAACTCTCTTTGCTTATCTACTTGTAAAAGCTCCAAACGACCTTGAAATGTACAAAAATGCGTTTCTTGGACCTTCATAAGAAGCATGGTATTTTGCGGCAGAACTCTCTTTGCAATCTACTAGTAAAAGTTAACATGTACAGAGTGTCACATTTTTATCGGTTAGCTGATAAACTCCGTCGAATTTGATTGGCCAAAAGCTGAGTCTCCGAAACCTTATTAGAAGTATAACATATTTTTTTGTATTTAGAAAGATATTTTTTATTTTTAAGGAGAATGTGACACCTCTTTAGCTCATTTGAAATCTACCGAGGGCAATTCATAATAAAAAATGTTATATTATTTGATTCTAAAATTAAAATTTGTATATGCATTTTGATTTGTTGTTCGGCTTAGTAAAAAATATCATTTTTTACCTAGCTAAAAATGATTACTTACTCAGCCTAAAAATGATTACTTGGTATTTGTGATTGATGATGGGGTATCTAAAACTAGCGTTGCCAACTTTCAAAATAAAAACTAGAGGACGAGAGGGTAAAAAGAGGCACAGGTGAAACATTTTTTGAAACATCGCCCAAATGTGTAGAATTTATCAAAAAGTTATGTCAATGGTTTACGATTGATGGTCTTTCTTACTTTCTTAACAATATATTTATACTCAAAACTTGTTAAAATAAAACAAACCATTTTCAACAAAACTTTTGTTTCAAAACATCAGCCAACAATAAGTAAACATAAAATAGTTAAACATGTTTAGCGCTTGCACAAGTAGTTCTTACTCATACAACATAGTTCTTTTACATAAATATTTCTTCGACTTCTTTTCTGTACAAACGAGTGGGAGTAGCGGAAGACACAGATTAACATTTTTTTGAAGCATTGTGGCGATACACGAACATTTTTTAGATTTTGAGTTTGGTATGAAAAAAAGAGGACTTCTTCAATACGCGAGAGGAAAGAGGACAGTGAGATCAAAAAGAGGACTGTCCTCTGGAATAGGGGACGATTGGCAACCATATCTAAAACCACAGATAACACATAATTATGTGTTATCTGTGCTAAAACCTCAAAACTAGTTGCATTTTAACAGTTAAGAATATTTTTTTTTGTTTGCGAATTTAAGGACTTTTGTAGTTGCTTTATTTACAACGGATTTGGAATGAATTTACCATAGTTTCTTAGTTATCTTATTGATACAAGATACAATTCATCTTTACATTATTACTGGATTAAGTTAAGATTAAGTTGATCATTTTGGCGAGGTCAAACCGTGGACATTATTTAATTGGCCAATACTTTTGTGTCATTAATAGGTAATTCGAGAAAAAAAATATTTTTTTGGAGATAGATTTGTGCGACTGTAAACATTCTATCCTTTTTTTACCTTTTTTTAATCAGTGTTAATTTTTGACTAGTTTTATGTAATTTTTTTTAAATGACCTTCTAGAGATTGACCTCGCCAAAATTATCATCGATCTCCATTCCCCAGCCGTCTTTGACGCCGTTTTTTTTTCGATCATACGATATATGACGGTTGATATTTTCTTTTTTAATAATATTGGATAAAACAAATAATATTACTTCTTAAAGTTGTTTATTTCAATAAAAATAAAAAAGTATATTACATTTTCTTAATAATTAATTCTAATCGACCTAAACTTTTGCTTGAATACTAACTATAAAAGTGCGTATTTGCATTGGGTTCATAGTTACAATTAAGTTATCTAGGTCGTCATCACTAACAGGTTTTTGGCTTGTTTCTGGCTGATCGGTAGAGCTAAATTTCAGCCTGTCGTTTTCACTGAGTAGCTGATTGGCTCCTAGAGTCGTTTCTTCCAGAGATATAATGTCGAACGTTGTAAACAAATCCTGAAAAAATGAGTTTTTTAATGCTGAAACGGTAAGTCTTAAATAAGTGCAAATATTTTCAGGGTTGGTAGATCTCGATAAAAGAAACATATTTTCTCTTTACCGTTTCTCAAATAAGTTCAAAATAACCGAGTTATTCAAGTTTGAAAATTGAAAAAAATGATTTATTTTTAAAAAAATTTGAAAACCACCGAATTTTTTTTTATTTGCATCAATTTTAGTGCTGTAATCATGGTAGTATTAGAGATTATTAATTTATTTTAACAGAACGTCAACGGTTTCTTGTAGACGTATCTGTTTTAAAAAAGTAAAGTGTTCTCGAATAGTTGAATTTAAATATTTTAAATACTTTTTTTCTTATTCTTTGAATTCTTTGTATTTTTTTTGCTTCCAACGATGGAAAGAGATAAATTTTCCGAAACGTTAAGCATTTTTTTCTTTGTTAGGAAAATTTATATAACTGTAAACATAATTTCTCACAAGCAGTGTCCGTTTAGGTTTAACGCAGAAGTGTTTACAAAAAGTAACTATTTTATTTTGTAGATTTTCTTGCAGTGTAGTGGCGAAATATCCATAAAGGATTTTTTTGGAGAGATGAATCCGCCACATAGGTATAGACATTTTTATAGAGATTTAGAAATTATGCATTGGATATTTGAATAGATTAATACAAACCTTTAAACTGACTTCAATTGGTAGCGATAGAGTAGGGTCTTCGTTTTTTTCGAAAGTATGCTCTAATCTGAGTAAATAACTGGATTCTTTCCATGGTTCCAGGGTCATAATATGCACATTATCAGGCAATGAGTTTTGCAAACCTGAGAACTGAAACATAAATTCTTATTTAATCAGGTACTGATTATTTCATTTCACACAAACAAAAGATAAAGAGCGTCTAAAAGTTTAGTTATATTAAGTTATAAAGTGTGTTTTTTGTAAACACCATTGCGTTGAACCCAAACAGAAACCAGCTTGTCAGAGGCTTTGTGCTAGTGAAATAAAGGGCTCAACTTTCGTTTAGTTGTAATCAGTTATGTAAGAAACAGTTGCTTATTTAGTATTTGAAAGTCTTTTCGAAAATTAGGTCACAAAAACGTTTCTGCGGAAATGCACCATTTTCAGTTTTTCAACCTAAGAATTGCTGAAATCAGGGTTACTTTAGTTTAGCTGAATCAGTTATTTAAGAAATATTTGTTTATTTAGTATTTTTCGAAAAGCATTTTCAAAAATTATGCCACAACATTTTTTCTGGGAAAATGCATACTTTGTGAGTTTTTCAACTTGAGAATAGCTGAAATCAGGGCTACTTTCATTGAGCTGAAATCAGTTATGTAAAAAATATTTGTTTATTTAATATTTAGAAGCCTTTTTGAATAGTATGTCACAAATGTTTCTGCGGAAATGTATAATTTTCAATTTTTCAACTTACATGAAAACATGTTTCTGTTTTTCATTCCAAAAATTTTACTTAACATAAACACTCAAAAAACTTCCTGCGGAAGTGTACCATTTTCATTTATTGATGAAATATTATAAAATATAGCAATATTTGAATTTGATTTTTTTGGTTTGGCTGATGGAAGGAGATATTGCTCCTGAAACTTTAAGTATTTATTGTGGATTATTTTTTTTTACTTTTAAATAGCCACTGACAAGCTGGTTTCCGTTTGGAGTCAATGTAGAGGTGTTTACAAAAAAACAACTGTTTTATTTTGTAGATTTCTCTTCCAGGGGCAAAAAAAACTATTTAAAAAATAATATAACACAAAAATCAAGGTAAACGATATGGTGTATAGATATTCTTAGAAATTAATAACACGTCAAAGAACAGAGTTACACTTTAACAAAAAACTGTAAGTATTGGAACTCACACTGGGAATTTAACATTTTTGAGGATATAATATATCACAGTTACTTCGTTATTTTCGTTTTCAGAAGAAGTGCTCTCAGATGGGAATACCTATTAATGACAACCTTCCTCTGTATACTCTCCATTTCGGCGATGACCAGATAGTAATGGCTCAAGACAAAGAAGACCTAGAATACATGACCAGAAAACTGAGAGAAGAGTACGAGAAATGGGGACTGGAGCTAAACAAGAAGAAGACAAGATATACATATGTGTGTTAGTGGCGAGTTGAAGACGTATTAAATAACAATATAAAGATTGAAGCTTGCGAAAAATATATGTATTTAGGGGTAAAATCGCAAGCAAAGGGAGATGCGAAAAGGTAATCGAAGAACGGATTAGTAAAGGCAGAAGGGAGATAGGAGCGCTGAACTCGGTGCTTTGGTCTAGGGATATCTCGGATCACAGAAAAAACTGATTTATAACGCGATTCTGAAAAGCGTAATGTTATATGACTCTGAGGTATGGCAGTTAAGCGAAAAACGTAAAAAGAAGTTGTTGTCGACCGAAATGGACTTCTGGCGAAGATCAGCCCGAATCTCCCGTTTAAACAGAATCAGGAACAAAAGAATACGTGAAAAAATGAAGGTGGAGGGTAACATTGAACAAGATATACAAGAAAAACAACTGCAGTGGTACGGCCGTAGCTCCAGCGTTAGTGTGTCGATCTGCGGAGCGGAAGGTACTGGGTTCCATCCCCAGCCAGTACGGTCGCTTTATTTATTTAAATAAAAATATTTATTTATCTAAATAGAGCGACCAACGTGCCGCCACCTCAAGGAAAGCAACGGCAAACCACCTTGAGGATATTTGCTTTGTACAGCCTCTCAAATATGCCTTTCGGATTCGGTAATAAACTGTAGGTCCCGTGTACTTTTGTGAAACACTGATGACACACATTACAAGTACATGCGAGAGGTAGCCGACGCTCTATATAGAGTATGGCACTGTAAGAAGTGGTACGGCCATGTACAACGAATGGCTGATGATAGAATACCAAAGCAAGTGTTGCAGTGGACACCTACAGACAGACGTAAACGAGGCCGACCTAAACTCTCCTGGAATCAAGGAATCGACAGAGCCATGTCGGAAAGGAACCTACTACTAGGAGACTGGGACAATAGACGGAAGTGGCGCATGGAGACCGGAAGGCGACGAAGGACGCTGTAAAACCGGACATACATACATACTTCGTTATTTACTTACTTCCATGTTGTGTTCTTTTTGGTATTCTTCGAATGACTTCTCTTTAGGTATCGAAATAAATACCCAAGAATCTAGAAGCTTTTCATCGGCAATTTTGTGTTCCAAGGCTGCTATTGTTTCCTCTGAAAATTTTAAAATTTAAGTGATTTAAGTGAAACTTTAAAAACTCGAAGAGTATACAAATTTTAGAAATGTTTCAAGAGCGATTGGGACATTTTTAAGTCATGTAATTCTGGATTAATTAACATATAATAAAAAACTCAAAAAATCTGTACGTATGTGTCAACCTCAATATATGTCAACTGCTATACGAGCCCTAACAACTATATGTTGGGACAAGGTCATATTTTGGAATTATTGCCCTGGTTTTTCAAAATGACTGAAAAATATATGTTTAATTTTTTAAATATAAACATAGCCATATATTCTAAACAACTTAACAATATTTTTATGAATTTGTAAATCAATCCATATTTACAGTAGCGGATTTTGTTCATGAAAGGACAAATTTGCTGACAACTAAATGTTGGGACAAGTATTTTTAAATAATTAATATCATAGGCGGCATTGCTATAAACGTCACAAATGTCGCAAACTGTTTACTTCAGCATTGACAGCTTGTAAGTGACTCGATACTTTGAGTAGTGAGATTTACTATAAGAAATTTTAATTTTTTTAATTTTCAATTTTGTTAATTTAATCCAAAGTAATGGTCCATGGAAAAGCTACAAATCAAAAACTACGCGAAATTATCAATCGTCAATACAGTACGGGAAAAACAATTCGAAAAATTTCTGATGATTTTAGTATTCCAAAAACCACGGTCTTTAATATAATAAAAAAATACGGCGAATCTGCCAATGTAGACGTTAGAGGTAAAAGTTCGGGAAGGCCAAAAGTTGTATCTCAGAGAGATTTACGAAATTTAGTTAAAATTTGCAAGTCTGTGAGAAGAAGTACTCTTCGCGAAGTAACAATTAAATTGAATACTGTAACTGGTTTAAATATATCAAGAGAATGTTGCTGAAAATGTATCCGTAAATGCGGTCTAAGGTTTTACAAGGTAAACTTTATTTTGTGTGGATAATCAATTATCTGAAGATTATTGATACAAATTCTTATTTAGGCCAAAGAAAAACCGACAGAAAACAACAAACCGAAAAAAAAACAGAAATTCAAAAGAAAAATCGGTACAATTGGGCAAAATCTAAATTATCGTGGACACACAATGATTGGAATAAGGTCATATTTAGCGATGAGTCTAAATTTGATGTTTGCGTTGGAGATCATCGAAAACGAATAATACGAAATAAAGCAGAAGCTTTTCATAAAGATTGCTTAAAGATTGTTGTTAAATTTCCTAAGGGGATTATGGTTTGGGATTGCATGTCAGCAAGAGGTTTGGGCACAAAAAAAATTATAGATGGCACTGTTAACGCCCAAAAATATCAACATATACTTGAGACCTCAGTTTTGCCTAGTGCTCAAGAATTGTTTCCAAACGAAGACTATATTTTCCAACAAGATGGAGCATCGTGCCATTCAGCAAAATCAACTAAAAATTGGTGCGGTAATAATAATATAAAAGTTCTGCCCCATCCTGCAAGTAGTCCGGACCTCAATGTTATAGAAACTGTGTGGCATAAAATTATCAATATTTAAGAAACCACACTCAACGAACAATTTTTGATTTGCGGACAAAACTGCAGGAAATTTGGGATAATTTTTCTCCTCAAATGTGCCAATCTTTGGTAAATACAATGCCATTAGGAATTCAGGCAGTTGTTAAGGCGAAAGGTGATGTAACTCCGTATTAAACAAATTTCTTGTTGTGCTGTCCCAATATATAGTTATTATCAAAAGTGATTTGTTTGCAAAGTTATAAAAATATAGTAAAATTGTCTAGATAATATTGTAATGTTTGAATTTAGAATAATAAACAAAATAAATTGAGTCGTTTTAACAAATTACTAATTTTATTGCAAAAAAGATCTTGTCCCAACATATAGTTGTTAGGGCTCGTATATGCGGTTTTTAGACAGTTTGAAGATACTTACCTGATTCAGAAGTGCCAGTAATTTTACCAGCAACGACATAATGCGATCCTCTAACCACAATCGGTCTGCTGTAGGCCAACTCGATTAAGGCTTCACCTACACCCAGACGGTCATCAGCTAGAGTATTTCTATGTACCTAAAAATAATAATAAATAATGAAATGTGAAATAAGGCAATTCGGAATCACCCATTTGTCTTTAAACATTTTATAGTATAGAATTCTTGTAACTTTGCCATAGATAAGTTTTGTTATGGTAATTCCGTAACGTTTAATATTGATATTAAATAGATCTTATGCTTGAAAAGAAAACGCCATCAAATTGTCTTGGAATTCACGATCGCACCATATGCGTATATATGCTATTCACCATACAATTTTACAGACAATTTTTACAAATATTTTCAGAGCTGGTAGGTCTCGATAAAGGAAACGATTTTATATGTATATTCAGTAGGTCTGAGAATAGGTTTATTTTTATTTTTTTATGATGTGGCATTAAAAAATACATATAACACTAAATTTTCACCCTTCTACCATCAACCCCTATTTTTTAATAGCAATATTAGTAATTCAATAATTTTAATTTAACAACAAATTATTTTTAAAAATTGCTAGAAAACCTTAAATTAAAAACGTGGGTATTATTGGGTATATACAGGGTATAATGTTATTTACCCAAATTCAATATACCATTTATTGACCATTTGGGTATATACCGGGTGCAAAAACTTGAGTATTTACCGAAAAAAAAAATTAGCCAAAATTATTGCATATATCGTTTAAAAATATACGGAAAGGAATTTAAAGAATTTTTTTATACATAGCTTAGATAAATAATCTGTAATAAACATTTTTTTGTTAAAATGGATATTGTAAACAACGTAAGCCAAAATAAGCCGTAATAACCAAAGCGATGTTTCGCGAATATTAAAAAAATTCAGGGAGACAAACGAGGTTATAGACCGGCCTGGAAGAGGTGGAAAGAGAGTTACTACTGCTGTGCAACACCGTCAAATATCCCTAATTGCACCACACAATCCCCGGCTTTCCAGTACTGCTATCAAAAATGAGTTAGCTCGCCTTGAAGGAGTAAATGTTTCAAGAAAGACCATAGCAAAAAGACTCCATGACAGAGGATTACATTTAAGGAGACCTCTATGTGTTACGAAGCTTAATTTACAGCATAAAATTACGCGACTACAATGGGCTGAGGAGATGAGAGCAAATGGACCTAACTGGAATTTCGTCATGTTTAGTGATGAAACAAGAATAGGCCTAGTGTCAGACTTGCGACGAACTTTGATCTGGAGAGCATCTGGAAGACGAGCACGCTTGAATGCAGCTCAACCCCGTGTTCCGTTTCAAGGGGGAAGCATTATGATATGGGCAGGTATAATGCACGGAGCTCGAACTCCTCTTGTTTTTATTGATAGCGTAATGACAGGTGCCTCATATCGTTTTAGAGCCTATTGTGCGTCCATTTCGAGGGACAGTGGGGGATGAATTTGTTTACATGGAGGATAATGCTCCTCCCCATCACACTTTAGCGGTCCGAGAATGTTGTGAGGATAAGGTATAAGGGGAAAACTGTGGTGGCAACCGATGTCTCCAGATATGAATGTGATCAAGCATGCTTGGGACATGCTAAAACGCCATAGTGCCAAAAGGAATGATCCCCCCCTTAAATGAATTGAAAATTGCTGCGCGCGAAACATGGGAAGCCATTCCTCAACATCTTCTGGACAACTTAATTGCGAGCATGCCACGTTGGCGTCGTCTCGCAGCTTGCACTGAGGCTCAAGGAGGCAATACAGACTATAAGTTGCGAGAAATAATTAAAATTAACGAAACATGGGAAGCGATTCCTCAACATCTTCTGGACAACTTAATTGCGAGCATGCCACGTTGGCGTCGTCTCGCAGCTTGCACTGACCCATATAGCACGTCCAAATGAAATTACGTTTCTACAAGGGAGACACATGAGAAACAACATATGTTAAAGTGAACCTAAGTGTTCATCTAGTTCTAACATATACATATGAGATACACGCAGGTTTATATTGATAGAATTGTGTGATACAGTGTTTACTAGTTGTATACCGTATGCACTCAAGATTCTAAAGAGTTTTTTGTAACGTAACAAATAATTATTAAAAGGATGAAATCTGACGTCGGTATATGAGACATACAATGTATAAGTCATATGTATGTGTGATACTTCGTGTCATAGTTGTGCCTATAGTACACACCTTGTAAAAATGTGACGTATACACATAATATAAATATCTATATAGACACTTTGTAATAGTGTACTCTTGTGTCTACATTCTAGCATGAAATGAAGGTGTGCGCATGCGCGGATAGCCTCAGCGTAGATACACCGACCAAGTGTATCTTATGTGTCCTCTTTCCTTTCTCCTTTCTAGGAGTGGTATGTGTTAGTAGCCATTATTGTTTTATTATTCGGAAGCTCTATATAAATGTTCTGTCTGTGTGTGGTTTAAAAGAGATTTTAATGTAAGTACAAGTTTTTAATTACCTTGTTACACCTTCCTAAGAGTATTATTAATATTATAGCAGCGACTCTTCCCTTACTCGATACCCAATTTACCAAATTTTGACTCCAATGAATGAAACCTCGATATATTCTCATATAATGATAAAGAGGTTACCTGAGTTAGTTCTGCAATATATTTTTTTTTAATTTGAAAATAATAAAAATCTAAATGGATCAGAGAAAGAAAGATTTAAACACTTCAAAGAACTTCTTACACTGATATTCGGTAAGTTATTGATGGATCAATATACAGATATGTTTAATATTCAATAATCAGTTTCATATAAAATTTAAGGGTTAGATTGTTAATCTGGAAATAAGATACAACAAAGTCCAACGAGTGCTCGATGAATGAGTATGCTAATAATTATTAGCATACTCATTCATCTATGCTAATAATTATTAGCATACTCATTCATCGAGCACTCGTTGGACTTTGTTGTATCTTATTTCCAGATTAACAATCTAACCCTTAAATTTTATATGAAACTGATTATTGAATATTAAACATATCTGTATATTGATCCATCAATAACTTACCGAATATCAGTGTAAGAAGTTCTTTGAAGTGTTTAAATCTTTCTTTCTCTGATCCATTTAGATTTTTATTATTTTCAAATTAAAAAAAAATATATTGCATAGCAGTTGCAAAGCAGTTGCAAAGCAGTTGGTTATAACCAACTGCTTGGAGGGAAAAGAGGAGAAAAAAATGACTAAACGAGGTCCACCAAATCGTGGCGATATACCAGTGTTTACTATTTTAGTATGTTGTTATACTAGGTACTTATATTTTTAATACATTTTGATACAAATTCTGTTCTTTTACAGTGTTTTCTTACTTCTGGTTTCTGCAGTGTAAATAATTATTATTATTGTGTTATTTGCGCTATTGCGTTCCATGATATAAAGAAATATAAGAATTTTATTTTTTAACCACTTAATCCATTTTATGGAAGAAAAATGGTACATTTAATACAAAACAAAAATAGAACAATTTTAAGGTTACTTCTCTTGAACTTACGATCGAGATACTTTTGGAAAATACAAAGTTTTGCATTCCTAATTTTCGTTCTAAAATGATATAATTGGTATCATTGAATAAATATTTCTTAAAAAGAACGAAAAGTTAGGCATCAAAACTTGTATTATTTCCTAAATTCGTTCATAAGAAGTAGTTTTATCTAGCACAAGATGTATATACGAAGCAAAATACATACGTACACGCGGTAGTCACAACTGCAATGTGTAAACAGATTTTAAACGTAATACACAAGAACTGTGTATCCTACGGCACACTGTGTATCCCTTACTTTGTGTATACGTAAATGCTATACTGTGGCTACATTGTGAGGCGGACGTTTAACTTTTGTGCATACGAGTTGAACTACAATGTGTAAACGTAGCATATTTACATCGGGGGAATTGTGTCACCCTGTGTCTACATCTAATAATGTAAACACATCGTAAATGTGATTTGATGCGCTGTATGGGGAGGCTCAAGGAGGCAATACAGACTATAAGTTGCGAGAAATAATTAAAATTGTTTTCAATGTTTTCTGTTTAAAATGAAATTTGTTTTTATTGATTTTCACTAATTACATATATGAAATAAAATTATAATCCAAACCAAACAGCCTAGTTGCACTTAGATTTGTAATTTTATATTAGTTAGTCGTGTAGTAAGCCAATATGTGCAAAAATATAAAAAAAAATCATATTAGGTCCAAAATAAAATAAAAATATCATTATATGCAATAATTTTGGCTATGTGTGTATGTTTAAAGACTAAAATATAGTTTTCTGTTTTTATATACGTAGCCAATTTTTTTGAAGAGGCTCTATATTTACCATCAGTTCGATGTCTCCATCTTTCAAGCTTGATCCTCCTTCAGCCCTGTCAGTTAAAACCGTAAAACCAACATTTCTTTTCTCATCTCGAATAGATATTTTCGATGTTATGGGGTAATAGTTTGATGATTCTTTCTCCGTAACATTTATATTCCACGTGGGTCTAAAGTTGCGTATTCTCTTTAAGTATTCGCGTCCATTAGAGTCTGTATAAAAAGTTTTTTCAGATTCAAGGTCGGTCGAATATCTGGTGATGATTTCTTTTCCATGTATACTGTGAAAAAATAAATAAAACGAATTAGAGAAAAAGGTTTATATGAAGTTTCCGGTTTTCACGAAAGGTTTTCACGAAAACGTAGAGTTGCTGTACGATCACAAAATTTATATATTTTTTTTGTAATTTACTATTTTTTGTAAATTTACACTTTTTCTGTCATTTTTGTCCGAATTTAAAGGTTTACACAATTTTGCCAACAAAAAAAAGCCAGTGGCGCACATATTTTTTTTAGAATAATATTCCTGTGATAACCTATATGCTATACATATTATACCCACACATGCTATACCCATATAATATATATGTTTTTTGAAACACCCTGTATTGTTGAAAAAGAGAAAAACGATTGAGAAACCTGCCATTTCTGGATGTTTTTGTAAGTAGAAAACGGTGGATCCATTAGAAGTGTTACCACTAAGGTAGAAGTTAACAAAAAAGTGTAAATTTTATTGGATATAATTTGACAATGTTGCATGGCCGCGCTACGATTTGAGAGGTTTGAGATTTTCATTCAAATCTTTTTATAAAATATATGGGCATTGGTCAAGGACTGTATATATTCTAAAGTACTGTTCGATCGCGTCAAATAGTCGCCGTGGATGCTTACGTCACGCAGGGACCAGCGCTCCACAGTGCGGATGGTTATTCTAGCGGGATAAAATCTAAGAACGTAGCATATGGTCTAAAGCCGCGTCCAAGCTAGCCGAACAAAATGTTCGCGAACATATATAATTAAACAGATACTAAGTGAAAATTGTGAGATAGGTAGATTTATAAATAATAAAGCCAACAAGTACAGCTAGCCTAGGCCTATTAAGGAGCGCGGAGCGCCGAACGGCTAGCTTGTACGCCAGAGCGTGCGTCTGCCTATGCTAGAGCGCGCGCGTTCTTTTCCCGACGGGTGTCGGTAAATCAAAAGGAGCGAACGGCGTGCATTTTGGCGGACATTGTACCGGACACTTGGAAGTGTCTCATTTAATTTCGGGCATCCATCTGTGATTTTTATTTTTACCGAGTATTCGACAATGGGAGACGCAGTTATTGACTGGGATCGTGAAAAACATTTACAACTAATTTGTTTACGCAAAGAAAAGATTTTATAATTTTAATTTTATTGTGGGTTGAGTGTGAATAGCTATGTAGCTAGACTTCGTCCATATAATTTCATTTTTGTTAATAAAGACCTTTATGATTATTTTTATTAAAAACCGGAATTATTATGGGAGTCTGAAATTAAAAATTACTACTTAATAAAGTTTGACACCGGAAATGAAATTTTACCATTATCTATCTTTTTAGAAATAAATATACCGGGTGTTTCTGAAAAAGTGGTTCACTTCTATAACTTTTTTAATTTGTTAGATAAAAAACGAGATTTGGTATGTTAGTATAGGACATATAAATCAGGATTGATCGACGTTTTCATTTATTTTAACAACTTTTGATTTAAATGGTACCCTCCGTATTTTTTTACCGTATATGATGAAAATTACATTCTAAATAGAATGATATATTATATGTCAACTTTTGACATTTTCAATTTAAAAATGGCTATAAATAAACGTAATGACAATTTTACTCCATATACCAAGTATGTGGTACCAAATTATTCGTAAAAAATGCTTTTTCCAAATATGCTGAGCCAGCCTCGTACCATTTGAAAAAATTGAGTTATCATTAAAAATACGATTTGGGCATCTTTTAAGCGGCCATGAAAGGATATACGAAAAAAAATTACACGGTCAAATATATGTTTCGAAAGTTCGTTGATTACAAATTAATAGTGTTAACTCAGTCTTGGCACTCTATATTTAAATTTAAAATGCTATTTTTATTTAATTGGAATTGTCTAAAATTGACGTATGGTATGTCATTCTATTCAGAATGTCGAATCTATCAAATAAAGTAAAAAAGTACTTAGGATACAATCTAAAAATACAAAGTTGTAGTCATTTCCGGTGAAACAGGAAGCGACCGAAGGTAATTGAATACGTCAATCAATCCCGATTTATGCCTTATACTAACAAACCAAATTTCGTTGTATTATTTGAAAAAATAAAAAAATAAAAAAGGGAGCCCCTTTTGAGAAACACCTGGTAGAATCGACTGAAAATGAATACATGTCTTAAAAATACACTATAACGAATAATCTACCAAAAGACCCCTGTGACCCTCCGCCTGCTAAATATTGATTCTTCAACGACAAAAGTTTTTAAACTGTTTACCGGTTAATTTATTTAATAAAATGCTTGCACTCGGAATCCGGGCACTCGAAAAAACAGCGACTACCTAAACGCATCCTAGATCTAGAGAGCAAACTGGTTGTCGCATTCTTCCCCGCACCTCAGTCCTCGGGACCGATGCGATGGGCTGTGCCGTCGTTTACGACCTGCTGCTACGAGTATATAGTGTGAATTATATATGTTCGCGAACATTTTGTTCGAGTAGCTTGGACGCAGCTTAATATACAGAGTCCGGCAATAGTGCGTCGGGCATCTGTAGCTCCTAGAATACAAGACTTGGGAATTTTGTTCAAGTGCAGACCTAAACTATGAACTAGGATGTATTTCAGGAAAATATTTTAATTTCTATAGGGTGGCTCAAAAAAGTGTGAGTGGATCGGGACGATTTTTTTTATATGGAACAGCCTGTATATTATATATATATATATATATATATATATATATTATATATATATATATATATATATATATATATATATATATATATATATATATATATATATATATATATATATATATATATATATATATATATATATATATATATATATATATATATATATATATATATATATATATATTATTATATATATAAAAAAAACATTTTTTGTATTTAGAGTATTTCAAAACTTTTAATGGTTTCGCAGATACAAGCAGTATTATTTAATATAGCTCTCTCAACGGTAAAATACGAGAGAAAAATCATTGGGTGGCTTTGATAAAAATTTACTATGGAAAATGCCATATGAAATATAAAACCGCGAATATGTGAAAAACCGTTAAAAATTTTGAAATACTCTAAATACATAAAATGTACATTTTTGAATTCTCCATCTATTAAAAAAATAATATACAGGGTGTTCTATTTAAAAAAAGGAAGTAAAATTATTTTATATTTTTCAAGGTTTGGCGTAATATTTTAAACATCCTGTATGATATACGATTACCATATTTATAGCAAAGTAAGTACAGACCATCTAAAGTAAATATCTAATATACTTTTGATTTCAGGACAGTTCTTGTATTTTTAATAGTTTTTTTTAGGAAAGGCTAAATAATATATATTATTTATTTATTTATTAATATCTCTGAAACTATCGAAATATATTTACTAATATCTTAGGATTATGTAAAGTGATCTGAAAAGAAGCCAAAAATGCAATAATATACAGGGTGTTCCATTTAAAAAAAAATCATCCCGATCCACTCACACTTTTTTGAGCCACCCTATAGAAGTTAAAATATTTTCCTGTAATACACCCTAAAACATACTTTAGATCTGCACTTAAACAAAATTTCTAAAGTTTTTTATTCTAGAAGCTACAGACGCCCGACGCACTATTGCCGGACCCTGTATAGCAACCATATGGTTAAATTTATTTATTTATTAACAACTTAATTTATTAATAAATAAATAAATACAAGATAATAAAATTATATCATTCATTACACAACACACAAAAACCATGTACTGTGAACTATTGCCAAATAAATAAAATTATGGTATCTGGTGAAATACTTACAAAAAAACCCTTTAGCAGTTATTTTTTAATTACTTTGTAATCTTGTGACACCCTGTATATTTTATTTTATTTTATTTTTAAAATAAATAAGATAGATATTTTAATTTTAACTTTAACACTCGGTAATTGTAAATTCATATATAGTAAGTATCTACGACAATTGCTTAAACTTTTATTAAAACTAGTAATAATCATTTAGTTTTATTATAAATTATCAGAAAGTAAAAAAAGGTCATTGCCGTCCATATTTAATTGTAAATAAAAAATTTTTCTTCTTTTCGATAAAAGTAAAAAATAAACGATTTTGCCTGGGACAAAAATGTTTTTGACTAAAAGCTCTTTCTGTGTTTGTTCAGCCTTAGACAGTATCATCTTACCCTTTCATTTCCACTGGTCCAATAACCCAATCGAATTCCAAGTAATTTTCTTCTTCGTATATTCTGATTACTTGACTGACGCACTCGTTGAACCTCTGATGAACTTCGGTGGCTACTTTTCCTCTGTAGATTTCAAACGTTGCCGTATCCGACACTTTGTTGATTGTATAATTAACCTCAGGTCTAAAATCAGATATTTTATAGTAGTAAGGCATGCGTATATAATAAAACAATGAGAAAATGTTCTTTGTTTAAGGAGTTATATATTTTTGGTATTTACTATTTAATTAAGTGCTGCACAAAATACAAATATTTGGGTATGCAAATCACAACTGTTGGATACAGCAATTAAAGAACGAAACCAACTTGGAAGAAATGCTATCACGGTATTGAATGGGATACTGTGGGACAGAAGCATAAACAACAAGAACAAAACTCTAATATATAATACCATCATCAAGAGTATAACCACGTACGGCTGTGAAGTGTGGCCCATTAAGGAAACAACAAAACGAATGCTGGAAGCTACAGAGATGGATTTTTGGAGAAGATCAGCAGGCAAATCAAGATTCGAGCGAATAACTAATGAACGCATAAGAGAGATTATGGAAGTTAAACATACGATAGTGGACGACATAAAGAACAGTCAACTCATATGGTACGGGCATGTCCAAAGAATGGCAGAAATAAGAATCCCAAAGCAAATTATAAACTGGAAACCTGCAGGAAGAAGAAACCGGGTAGACCCAGAAGAAGTTGACAGGAAGGGATTGACACGTTTATGGAGGAAAGATCTCTCGGAGACGGTGCATGGAGAGACAGACAGGCATGGAGAGATGGCATCGGAAGACGTACAACGTTTTAAACCGATTAATATATATATGGTATTTACAAGAGACATTTTTTTAGAAAACTGATTGTTGAAAAAACCTAATATAAAAATAACGGAAAAACGATTTGACTCCAAAACATATTGATCATATTTTATGTTATCACGCACCTGAAAATATATGCTCCGGAAGGTCGTACATTGTAAGTGCTCAAAGTGTTAGTACCATTATAAAACCAGAAGGATTGGTTTAAATTTAACTTGACTCCGTTAATTTCGCAATTTTCTATCAGTCCTGTAGATGGGTCAATATCAAATCTAACACCCTAAAAATAAAACAAATATTATTATAAAACAATAAATTTATATCGAATACTTAATATTATTTCATATACAGGGTGAGTTTCCTACGATGATCTCTATGGGAAACTACTGGAGATAGAGAGTCGGTTAAATGGGAAAAGAATTGCAGTTTTGTGGGTCATAAATATGCGCCTTTGAGATTTTTGAAAAAGTTCATGGCTTACTAGATATTTCGAAAATAATAAATTTTGACTATTTTAAAAATTGTCCCAAATTCCATTATAATCTATTTTAGAAAAAAGTTTTGAGATAAAAGTTGTAGATAATCACATCCCTAATCCCTTCGCTTACTCCAAGGATACTGATCTTCATTCTCTCCATTTCTTGAATTAGATTTTGTAGTTTGCCAGCGGCAAACAAAGTTCTTACATTCCATGTTGCGATTTTGATTTCCCTATCAAGTTGGAACCGGGAGATTCTTCGCACCCCTTGACCATTAAAGGTCTGCCCGGGACTAGGGGCCATTTGTAATAGTTCTTCCATCATGATAGGATATGCTGGGAAAAATAATGCGGTGGTTTCCCTCTTGCCTTCCGCATCGCAGTTCCACAACCCGTACACTGCTCCAGTTTTGGCCTGTGGAAATCTAATAATGAGCCGGTCAAAAGTAATTCTTTGTACGCCTCATCTTGGTACTGAGGATCGCTGCTGCCCTTCCTCAGATGCTGTTAATCACCATATCTGGCTACCCTCACTTGGTTTAGCCTGTGGGTCAACACAGTTACCAGGGTGTGGCGCTTGGAGCCATCAAGTGAGAGTTGGGTGTCTCGTGAGGACCAGTTGAGCTAAACCTCCGCCCGTCTATGACGCTTGGATTGACCGTTTAGAACAAAAGGTACTACCTCTCCGACACATCCCTACACCTTAATTTTATTAGATAGAGAGTTAAAACATGAAAATTTTTGTAGTAAAAGTACTTCAAAATTTTTAATGGTTTCGCAGATACATGCAGTATATTCTTTCATATGACTCTTTCAAAATAAAACCGGGAATATCTGTGAAACCGTTAAAAATTTTGAAATACTGTAAGTACAAAAATTGTTAATTTTTTAATTCTCCATCTATTGAAAAAATGATATACAGGGTGTTCTGAAAAAAAAACATCCTAGAAATACATCCTAGTACATACTTTAGGTTTGCACTTAAACAAAATTCTCAAGTTTTGTATTTTAGGAGCTACAGATGCCCAACGCACTATTGCCACACCCTGTAAGTTAACTATTATTCATAAATTGAGTGTTTATAATATTATATTGTTCCCAAGTGTGAAAAATAACTTAACACAGGATGATGTAGTATAGGGTGACCCACTAAAATTTAATTTATACTAATATCTGTTTATTTTAAATAAAAAACTTAATTCCTAAGAAAGGAAACACCCCTTGAGTAATTTCGCAATTTGTTTATAGCCTGTATATGAAATAGGTTTTTTATTATTTGCTTGTAAATTGTGAAGACGTAGTTACTTCAGAACAATCTCTAGTTTACCGTAATAGACGTTTATAAAAATGCTACACTCTTACTGTATAGCTTTGTTGGTGATTTCACCACAATCTTCAAACGCATTGTACAAGATCCTGGAATAATCGTATGCGACATTTTCCTTCTCGGTACCAGTGACTGCGTCATGGTGTTGCATAACTCCCATAGCTTCTCTAAGACTGTCCAATTTCGGTTCTTCAACGCTGGATATATTTGCCAAAGCATATAACTGCTTACATATCTGTAAGTAAGATATAATACATATAATGTAAATAACGAAAGCAATCAGTGTAATGTTAATTCACGATCATAATCAATTAACCTATTATACAGTAAATTTATATATTTTAGCCACCTAACGATTTTTAATAATGATATGTCAAAAAGGGAAATGTTTTATGTTAATATAGAATACTCCAAATATTCAAACCAAATTCAAACAGTTAAAAACAGCAACAAGCCTTAAATACAAAAAATGTTCATTTTTAAATCTGCATCTAATTACAATAGACATTAGTGATGATGCTTTGGAATAGGATCTGTTATTTTCGAAACAGGTTTGTTTTGGAACTGGTTTGGAACAGGTTCATGTACTATCCTGTACCAGTTCCAGTTCCGACTGTTCCCGCTGTTTCAAAACATTGCGACACATATAAGCATAGAAGAATAAATATACCTAAAGGCGAGTGTAACTGGAACTTGGAACTGTTTTATTCGTGTGGAACAGTTTGGGGCTTGGAACAGTTTAGGACTTAGGTCGTATCTAGCTAGCTATTATCTGTTATTGGGATAGAGAAGAGAGACCGAAAAAGCAAGTGTGACGGTGTAGTATCCTGCTATTTAATATATTTAATTAAAATTCAACTGAATTTTTATTATAAATTTTAAATAGGAAGAGTTTTTTTAATGTAAACAGAATAGGTGAAGAATTTTTTCCGTAATAAAAAAAGTGCTAGCGATCTTGCCAAATGCAATAGTTTTTTTGAATAATACAGTATAGAACAGTTGGTTATTGTATTTTATAATAAATATAATAGATATAATTTCCAACAAACACTTCCAAGAATGCATTTTTAAGTATATAACAGAATTTATAAATCTATATTTATTCATATACAGGGTGAGTCTCAAATAAGTGCACATATTTTTTAGAGGTGGTATATTTCGATTCTCATGAGTTTATTCGCGAAAAAATGTTTTTGAAAAGTTTATATTTTTCGAAAATTTGTTAGGATGTTTTTTTTTAATTTTTAGTTAAAAAACATTATATTTGGTAATATAGCAACATGGATAGTAGATTAAATTTACGAAAAAAATAACGAAAACAAAGAAAACATCCAATATCTAGTTCTCATTATTTAAGAAAAAAATGTTTTTTTTTTTATATATACATTTAAACAGAAAAATAACTCGGCTATTTTGAATTTATTTGAAAAACGGTAAAGAGAAAATATTGTTTCTTTTATCGAGGTCTACCAGCCCTGAAAATATGTGCACTTATTTAAAACTCTACTGCTACTGAAACTGAAACAGGGAGAACCGAAACAGAATGATACCAGTACGGTATTAATTTACGTTTTGGAACAGTTTGGAACTGGAACAGGTTTCTTGGAACAGGTTGTACCTGTTATTAAAAAAACGCTGTTCCGGCCATGAGTAATAGACATTCGCCAAGTCGGTAGGCAATTGACAATGATATGGCCGAGGATCTCGGTTCGGATTTCGCGTAAACAAAGTAAATCCCCATCAGATTAGTATTAGTAGCAAAAAAGAGATGTCAACTTAAAAAATAAATACATTTCTAAAATACGGTAAAACGGCTGGCATATACAGGGTGAATCGAAAAACTACCTTGAATTTTTCTCAGTTATTTGAAATAAAATACTGCTTTTCATATCATAAACGAACACAATTTTTGCTTACTTGTAAGAAGTTGTTACCCATCCGCTCTAAATATATAGTAGATATAATTTCCAACCAAACACTTCCAAGAATGCATTTTTAAGTATATAACAGAATTTTATAAATCTATATTTATTCATATACAGGGTGAGTCTCAAATAAGTGCGCATATTTTTAGGGGTGGTATATTTCGATTCTCATGAGTTTATTCGCGAAAAAATGTTTTTGAAAAGTTTATATTTTTCGAAAATTTGTTAGGATGTTTTTTTTAATTATTAGTTAAAAACATTATATTTGGTATAGTCTGTGAAACGAATAACATTGAATTTGACAGTTCCCGCGGGCTTTTCTAGTGTTAATTTTATTAGGTTAGCAACTTGCGGCCATGCTGACGCAATGCCGTCTCTAATAGAACAGCATCGGTGCGAGATTTATGACGTCACGCCAGTTACATACTACAGATTAATATATTGTAGAATACATGGAAAACATAATTATTCCTCGTATTTTTGGTTTGTATTTTAAAAATGATATAGCTTACATGAAATATACATAATATACAGTTAATATAAATAAGTTAATATAAAAATATATATATACAGTTAATAAATAAAAACGCTGATTAAGTTTTCATTTGGTTTTTCATTATTTTTTTTTGGTTAAAAAAAAACGTTTCGGCTAACATTATAGCCTTAAACAGTACTGTGTCTATATGATTTTTTTTTTATTTTAAACCAACAAAAATAATGTAAAACCAAATGAAAACTTAATCAGCGTTTTTCCCGAACCTAAATCCCAAGAAAATCAAAAATTTTAGAATAATTTTACATATAAAATGACAGCGATCTTTATTTCATAGCCATCGCTGACGCCTTTTTTTCTATGATATTGTATTATTTGCAAATATATTTTTTCAAACATTGCTACTTGCAAAATATACATATAAATTTTGTGAATGCAAATAATAATAATTAGTAGATATTGAATGTTTTTTTGTTAAATTAAATCGATTTTCAAATCAAAATTTAAAATATATATTACATTTTACCCAATATCTTATGTACCTATTCATTATTTGTGTATTGTAAAACATTTGCTGCATTTGTATGGTTCATAGTTTATTTGCCAAAGTATTTATTACTATAAATAGGTATATAATATACTGTATTTATTAACTGTATGTTATGTATATTTCATGTAAACTATATCATTTTTAAAATACAAACCAAAAACACGAGGAATAATTATGTTTTCCATGTATTCTACAACACATTTATTAATCCGTAGTATCTAACTAGCGTGACGTCATAAATCTCGCTCCGAGGCTATTCTATTAGAGACGGCATTGGTCTGATATTTAGAAATGTCAGAAGCTGATGACATTTGACATTTGACAATTATGCCATTTCGTGTTGATTTTTGCAAGAAGAGGCAGAATTGTAACTTGTTTTATAATTTTCCTTTTCTATTTCACGAAAGTAAAAAGAGTTACCTATCTGATTCGTTCAGTCACTCAATTTAAAGAATATCGGTAACTTTATTGACAGAGTTATTTTATATTTGCCATGTTGGTAAAAAATAACGGTCAAAATTCAAAGTTATTTATTTTGTGGACTATAATATAGCAACATAGATAGTAGATTAAATTTACGAAAAAATAACAAAGAAAAAATCCAATATCTAGTTCTCATTATTTAAGAAATAATGTTTTTTTATATACATTTAAAAAGAAAAATAACTCGGCTATTTTGAATTTATTTGAAAAACGGTAAAGAGAAAATATTGTTTCTTTTATCGAGGTCTACCAGCCCTGAAAATATGTGCACTTATCTAAAACTCACCACGTGTAATATAGAGGATGCCGTAACGGCAACGCGTGCAAACGTAGCGCATCGGCAACAATTCGGAGAACACTCTACTGCTACTGAAACTGAAACAGGGAGAACCGAAACAGAATGATACCAGTACGGTATTAATTTACGTTTTGGAACAGTTTGGAACTGGAACATGTTTCTTGGAACAGGTTGTACCTGTTATTAAAAAAACGCTGTTCCGGCCATGAGTAATAGACATTCGCCAAGTCGGTAGGCAATTGACAATGATATGGCCGAGGATCTCGGTTCGGATTTCGCGTAAACAAAGTAAACCCCGTCCAGATTAGTATTAGCAGCAAAAAAGAGACGTCAACTTAAAAAATAAATACATTTCTAAAATACGGTAAAACGGCTGGCATATACAGGGTGAATCGAAAAACTACCTTGAATTTTTCTCAGTTATTTGAAATAAAATACTGCTTTTCATATCATAAACGAACACAATTTTTGCTTACTTGTAAGAAGTTGTTACCCATCCGCTCAAAGCGCTTTAAAGTCGGCCTTGAGGTGTAGTATCCAGTCCAGTATCCACTAATTTCAGAAGCATATGGAAAGAAGTCGTCTGTTTTGAGTTTTGAAGTTAAAACTCCTTGAGTTTCTTGGTGTACCGCGGCAGCATAGCATGAAGGAGTTGAGTACATTATATTATATTTCGTACCATTAATTTCTTCTTTGTTATTGATATACCTGTACAGAATAAAATTAGATTATATCTCTTTAAATATTACCGTGTAAATGTATACTTAATTAATTTGTCCATGCTGTTGTACCATATTTCTGCGTTTTGGTATGCAAAATCTCGCCCCATAGGAATGAGCACATTGCTCGACTGGAAGCTTTTCAGCATAGGTTTGATGTGTCTTTGTATGAACTCCCAGGACTTAAAAGAAATATTAAGATTAACAGAATTTTTTTTCTTAACTAAAATCATTAATCTAGTTTTCTTTTTTTTTTCATTATACATATTTCAAGAGAAAAAAATATAAACTTTCTGCAGTAGTGAATATCGTTAAAGTTCTTGATAATAGAGGTGGGTAAAGATTGAACGAGATGTTCATTTGAACGAGATTTAAAAATAAATCGTGAGATTCGATTCACCGTTTAGTATACGGTTCGTTCAATTGAATCGTAGCCAGAGCACAGATCCATAAAATTTGAACGAACGAGTCATAAAAAAGAGTCGTAAAAATTGAATCGGATCACAATGCGACTCGTTCGTTCCTACGGATCGTTCGTTCAAAGAATCGCGAGAACTGATTTACTGCCTATAATACGATTCGTTTAAGTGAATCATGTCCAGTACAGATCTATAAAATATGAACAATCGAGTCGTAAAAAAGAGTCGTAAGAATTGAATCGGATCAAAATGCAATTCGTTCGTTCCTACGACTCGTTCGTTCTACGAATCGTGAGAATTTATTCAGTACTTATAATACGGTGCGTTCAATTGAATCATGTCCAATTGAATCGGATCCATAAAATATGAACGAACAAGTCGTAAGAATTAAATCGGATCATAATGCGATTCTTCGTTCCTACGGATCGTTCGTTCATAGATCGTTGCTTACAATTCGGTTTGACCGTTCGTTCAGTTGAATCATGTCCAGCACGAATCCATAAAATATGAACGAACGAGTGGTAAAAAAGAGTCGCAAGAATTGAATCGGATCACAATGCGACTCTTTCTTTTCTATGGCCGTTCGTTCAAAGAATAGTGAAAATTGATTTACTGCGTACAATACGGTGCATTCAATTGAATCATGTCCAGCACGGATCCATAAAATATGAACGAACAAGTCGTAAAAAAGAGTCGTAGGAATTCGTTGCTACGGCTTGTTCGTTCTAAGAATCGTGAGAATTTATTCATTACTTACAATACGGTGCGTTCAATTGAATCGGTTTGGCTCGGATCCATAAATTATGAACGAACAAGTCGTAAAAAAGAGTCGTAGGAATTGAATCGGATCACAATGCGACTCGTTCGTTCCTACGGCTCGTACGTTCAAGGAATCGTGACAGTTGATTCTTTGCTTACAACACGGTTTGTTTAAAAAGTAATTTTGAGTTTTTGTACCCAAAAATTATAATATAGCAATGATATAAATATAGATAAGTAATTATGAAAAATGCATGTAGTAGCGCATCAATAGACTAGAACAAAAACCCTAACAAATATTATGAATATATAACGTAAACGATGTGAGAGTTATTTACAAAAAAATATCTATTTATACTCTGATGCGCAAAATGTGTTGTATAGTTTGTTCAAATGAACTAATCGTAAGAGTCGATTCAATATGAGAAAAGGAATCGCGTGATTCCAATCACTAAAAAGAATCGTAATACATATCACTACTTGATAGTGATATGGCACTGATAGTCAACTGTGTTATCCACTTCGTTTTTATTTTTCTCGACGTAATAACTCGCACATTGTCCAGCTTTATCTATTAGACGAAGAAGCTCAGACTCAATTTTATCATTTCTATGCTTATTGTGACGTTGTTTTTATTCCGATAGATATAAAATCTATAATATTAGTAACCATTTATAATGAATATCTAAAATTTCAGCCTTATCTTATCATAACAATGCGTTTTATATACATGGTGGTCCGGCCTGATAAAAATTAGTTAAAAAGTTCGTATAAATGTATGTCTAAAATGCTTAGTTTATGAGATATTAGAGTGTAGAAATTTTATTTTTATTTCAATTTTTCCCAAATAATTTCTGAATTAACTGATAATTGGATGAAAATTGGTGTCTGGAAGTTTTTTCAGATGAGAAATTTGATTTTGATGTCAATATGCCTCCTACTTGTAGATTGTAGAGGGCGCCACCTACAAATTTTTTAACCTGTTTGAAGAGTAATAACTTTTCGTCAAAACTTATATAAAACTACTGAGTAAAAATATATGCATTTGCGACGTTGTTTGCGTATAAAAGGTCTCTTGGTAAAAATCGCTAGGAGTAATGGTTCTCGAGATATTTGGAACCGAAATTATCAATACCTGTATATAGTCATTAACATAAATTAAACATGTTGAATAAATAGTTATTAGACTGAAATCATAAATTTGAAATGTTTTTGTGCCAAAAGTTCAAACAGAAACTGTTTTATCATCGTTTTTCGAAGAAAAATTTATATGATTAATTAAAAAAAGTTTTTTTTTTATTGTCCATAATGACATGTATTGACTATTTCCATTCAAAATGTCTTGAGAACGTTGCTCGTAGCGATTTTTACCAAGAAACAGTTTTTTACGTAAAAAATTACGGAAATTTATATTTCATAACATTTTATTATACATTTTTTTACTCATTAGTTTTATACACGTACGGACGAAAAGTTGTTTACGGAAACGGAAAAAAATCGAAATAAAAATGAAACTTCTACACCCTGTATCTCCGAAACTAAGCATTTTAGGACATATAATAATAGGAACTTTTTTACTTATTTTTATCTGCAGAATTTTCTACCGAAGTTTTCAGCATACAATTCGGACCACCCTGTATATTCCAATCAAAGTTTTTCTCCAAGTGTTACAGCTGCACCAAAATGCAGTCTTAATCCCTTCGAAGTTTGAATGCGCGGTATTTTAATAAAGGTCGTATTATCTTTGAGGATACAAACTAAAATATTTTTTATCAATTTCTTCGTTAATAAAGTCTAACTATAATATATTATCTCTATTAGATATTCCAAATAGTTAATCATGATTACCTGAACAATAAAAAATTCTTACCCTAGATTCGATATTGTATTCAGGACTGCTGATGTCGTCAACCAGAGGATAATCTCCACACAATAAGTCGAAACAAAAGCCAGTTGGAGCATCGTAGTGATTATACAATACGCTGGTAAAAATGTCAGTTGGACTGCCTAAAAATATTTGAGAACAGATAATGATAATGATATTTTATTACGCTAGCAAAATATTCAAGAATAAATCGAAATTGAGTTCACACTGTTTGAATAATGCGAAAATGAAAAAAAAACATTTTGATGCTACATTGTGCTGAGATATTTGGTCACAACATAGAATAAGTTTATGTTAAGATTCTTAAAACATATTGGATTTGATAAAAGTTTCTGCCTTTTAGTTACCAGCTAATATACATATGGTAGTCGAAAGAACTATGTTGTTTGATATACAAGAAAGCTTCAGTAAATGCAAAATTGACTCAGCCAATCGGTTAAATATTATTTTTATGTTCATACATTAAACGCTTTAGTACAGAGAACATATAATCTGTAAGTTATGTTATCTGTGGCTGTAGTTGTTTTATATCTTAGAAACCTATAACTCAGTATTCTTATTTTTATTTTTCGATAAGATAATAAATAAGATATAGAGATATGCATAATTTTACCAATATATTTTTTTTCGTCAATACAATATTGATAAAATTATATGTGTACAGTATGTATAGTGGACAACTTAAGAGTTCATTTCACTAGTCCGAAAAAGTAGCATAATAAGCGTTCGGCATTTAACGTTTTATGTAAAACTGGCTAGGTATTTTTACACAAAGGAAGAAGGAAATTAAAGATAAAGGATTATACTAAATCCGTTTTGTAACACATTTTTAGACAACTTCTTTATTTTTATGATTTTGTAGGTCAAACATCAACAAAATATTCCTTATGTTTGGACTAAATTTTCTCGAAAATAAAGACATAATTTTAAATTCCGTTACAAAATACGGAAATAGATTGAAGTTTTATGATTACAGTGATATATAATTTATATGGTTTTGTAACAAATTGCTCGCTATTTTATGGCAAATGATGAAGCTCTGCAAACCTTAATAAAGCCTTAATCAAAGCACGTGTGTTTGGAATTTTGGGTGTGGCTTAACACGACAGGATCGGGCTAAGCCTTAGGCAGATTTCTAAACACACCTTCGGCCACACACCAGCTTTACCCGACCCCTGAGAGCGACCCGAACAGTACAGCGTAATAGATTCTTAACAACGTCTCAATAATATTGTAAAAAACCTTGTGAAAATAATGGCTCAAAATCATAAAATATCGTAATTTTCGTAAAGTTCATCAAGTGTTCTTTGGAAAAACACTGAAATTACACACACACAATAATTATTAATTATTAAGTATCGCTAATTACAATAATTAGGAATCACCCTGATTCAATATAGTCATTTATTTTTAACTACGACTGTGTTTTTTTGGATCTTGCCTGGCGGGCAATACTTTTAGTTTTTTAAATAGTTTTGGTTTTAGTGTAATTTGCTTTCCTTCAGTAAAATACAAACGAACCCATGCACGACTGCTCTATTGATGAAAAGCTGCCGTACGTAAGGGACAATATAGCTTTTGAGATAATAATTTTTCTTAAGGGCTCGAACACACTGACGACCAGGTCACACCGGCCAGCTACCTCTAAAACCGGCTCATCCCCATAATTTTTTTTATATTTTCAAATAAAAAAACAAGATTTAGTATATAATATAGTAATATAGTAGTACATGACATAAATTAGGATTGATTGACGCATTCAATTGTTTTTGGTCACTTCCTGTTTCACCGGAAATGACTATAACTTTTAATTTTTAAACGGCACCCTTGGTATATTTCTACTTTATTCGATAGAAAATGGCACTCTGAATAGAATGACACATCATATGTCAACTTTTGACACTTTCGCATATGGTTTAATTGTAATTGTAACACGTGGTTCATAACGACAATTTGACTCGAAATACCAAGTGTGTGGTATCAATATATTCATAAAAAAATGCTTTTTCCAAATATGCTAACGAGTCACCCTTGTTCCATTTGAAAAAATTGACATATGTATGATTAAAAATATGATTTGTACATCTTTTAATCGGCCTAGACAAGACACGAAACCCATTAGACGATCAAAACTATTTTTCCAAGGCTCCTTGATTAAAACTTAGTGTTTTTAACAACACCATGGCACCCTGGATTGAAATTTATAATACGATTTGTTTTTAAGCGACAATGTCAAAAGTTGACATATGATATGTCATTCTATTCAGAATTCTATTATCATTTTCTATCGAATAAAGTAGAAATATACCGAGGGTGCCTTTAAAAATCAAAAGATGTAATCATTTCGGTGAAACAGAAAGAGACCAAAAACAATTGAATACGTCAATAAATCCTAATTTATGTCATATACCTACTAACATACAAATCTGTTTTTTTATCTGAAAAAATAAAAAAGTTATAGCGGTGAACCACTTTTGAGACGACCCGGTATATTAAAAAATATTGTTTCATAATGTAATATCATTTTAAAATTCTTGTATGTTATTTTAGATTCTGAAGATAATTTTAGAATAAACCGGAATATATTTTTAATAAAAACATTTATAATTATTGACAGGGTTATAATTATGATTTTGTTACAATGTAAGTAAGTAAATAATGCAATGTGAGAGAAAAAATTCAGATTTTACATTTTACTAAAATATTATCTAAATAAGCGCCTTTCTACAACAACGCCACTGACTCCCAATGGGTAAATTTAGAGTTGCCTACCGGTCAAAAGTCGTTTCAAGACTTAAATGGATTATTTAAGTCAAATTTCTTGCAAATTTAGCACTGGCGAACCATATTTTATAGTTCTTGAACAGAAAAAGTCAATAAAATAAACACTTAAGCATTACAAGCTAAGAAAATGCGTTAATACAGCCGGGGAGATAGCGGCAACAAAGCTTTACCGCACACGTGCGACACGTACTACAAGGTAATAAATGAATGAATAGGCTCCCTCGCCTCTAATCGGTGTTGTCATATTGTAAAGAACTTATTCTCTTTAAACAGTATCCGACTTATAATTTAGTAGTATAAGGACTATTTAATACATCTTTGGAATATTAAAACCTACTTTATTAAACTGTAGTATTAATATCTCAATATATGTGTCTAACAAGAAAAAAATATTGATAATATTAAAGACGTGACAACATAGGCTGGATGAGGAAGGCTCGGTCGACTGTACCCAGAAGTAAACATGTGTACAAAAAATATTGTCTGTCCGCGTTGAGATGTAAATAGTGTAGTCTATATTTTATTTTAAGTCTATGCAACCTCCTATGTTATCCACATTCTACATAGTTCTACATTTATAAATTCATAGATAAATTTCTACTCAAAATTTAGGAATGTTAAATTTAATCTTTTATCAGTGCTCATTATTAATAATTATTATAAAAAAAAACACATTAATTATTTTTAGTACTTACCCTTTCAATGAAAACTTAACAAAAACCACCGAAAATTAACTAAAACATTACGTTTATGATGTTTACGAAAATGATTCATCATATTATTCACAACCAGGTCACAAAAAAGAAATTCCTAAAATGTTTATCGTAATTTAGAATTCAATATATCGAAAACAGCTCAAGGAATAATCGATTAATATCTGTTTTGTATATTTCGACAGCCCAACCATCGCGCGTCGGCCAAGAGTGCCACGTGTGAACTGGTCCTTTGCAGTGTTGCCGCACCCTATTTTTATCGCGTACCACATTCTAAACTAAAAATGTACCACTTTGGTACAATTTTTTAAAGCACAACAAAATGCATCTGCAAATGACTTTAAGCGGTTTGGCCGTTGTGAATTTCTTCATAAATTCCTACATAAAAAAAACTTCATGGAGAAAGACACAAATCGAGACGAAAAACATGAAATAGAAATTCAGAAAACCCAATTTTAAGTATAGGTTGAAGAAATCTAAGTAATTCTAATACAACACACGATATTTGGAAAACTTAAATTTTATTAAAAAAACGCAAATATAGAAGCATGTTAGAAACAGCAAATTTTCAAGTTTTTTTCGGGTTATTTAATATAGGCAACCCTATAGACTTACAACGTTTATACGTCGTTAATTAATGCGGATTGTCTCCGAATGGTATCGGTAAGCGCGTTTAATGCAATTTCAACGACAATAATTATTAAATATCTATTCATTTTCGGTGCGCGTGGGAAATAATTATTGTACCAAGACATCCTGGATTTGAAAATGTAGTACCACTCTATCAAATAGAATTAAAAGTATCAAATTTGGTACAAATGTACCACTGCGGCAACACTGGTCTTTGAGCCGCGCCGTCGCGGCGGGCTTGCGTCAGCCGACCATGTTAAGCAACGTTGCCGTAGTTACAACAATTTCAAACTCAAGACATTCGAAGCAATCAAATTCGTATTAAATTTTAAAAATAAAACAGAGAAACATAAAAGGAAACAAACAAAACAAAAATGAATTGATTATTCGTCGGGCTGTTTTCGATATATTGAATTCTGAATTACGATAAACATTTTACAAATTTCTTTTTTGTGACCTTATCAATAATCAATTCATTTGTGTTTTGTTTGTTTCCTTTCATATTTTTCTGTTTTATTTTTAAAATTTAATAAGAATTTGATTGCTTCGAGTGTCTTGAATTTGAAATTGTTGAAACTACGGCAACCTCGCATGACGCGAGCTTGACAAGCCGGCGCAACAAAGGAGCAGTGAGCAGTTACCAACCAGTGATGCGCGGCTGTCTTGGCCGACGGTTGGGCTGTCGACGGACTTGTCGAAATACATCGAAAAAATAGCGAAAAAACAAAATACGTATTTAAAGTTGTTGAGTAAAACATGTATTTTCTTAGATTGAAAGTAGTTCGTAAAGTGGCGGTAAGAGACAATAATTCTCAACATTTAGAAAGGTATTCAAAGTAATGTGTAATGTGTGCTTTTCAAGGTGTTTTGTAAATCAGTGGTTCAAATTGTGATGAAGCCTATATGAAAATAATGTGCTAAGTTAAAAATGGGAACTGTTATTTTAGCAGTTTTTATAATAGAATGTACAAGTAAAGCAGTACAATGAAGTGTAT